CTGTTAGAGATTATGTACTTTATTATTACACCTTAAAATTTCATAATTTAGTATATTTAAAAATTTTAAATTGGATTGTTCAAAGAATCTGATAATATTCTTTGTTTGACATAGTCTTAGTCCTACATTATAAGGTTAGTATATAAACGATAATTTGAAAAAATAAAAAAAACACGCCTTTGTTTTTCTTCATAATGTTAACCATATTTGAGAAATGAAGAGTCATCAGTAAGAACATTTTTAAGGTTTTCTTAATCTCACAGAGATCTACATATAGTCAAAAGATGAAATCGACAGCTCAGACCTAACTGGAGTAGTTACTTCGTATGCTAATAGAATAATTTAGCAAAGTTTCAGGACGCTGTTCTTCTTTTTGTATGAAAGAACGATGGATTTTAAAATTGCTTGAGAACTTCTAGGATGTCATTTATACTTGAACGTTACCATCAATTCTAAACAAATATTATCACAAACTCAATCAATCAATTTGAATGGTTTCTTTACCATACAAGCAACGTTATTCTAGATCATCATCATTGACATAAAAAAAAGTTGACAAAACGCGACGAATTAATAGAATGAATTTTTCTTATAAATCATTAACAATTAAAATTCCTAATTTAATTTTGCTTTTGAAAATGTTTAATCATTATAATTCATTGTCTTTCGTTTTTTAAAGTTTTCTTATTCGAAAGTCTTTTTGATTTCGTACATGAGATTTCTATTCTCAGAAAATATTTAGTTTTTTTAAAAATTTCTGTTACATAAATTGATTTATAATACAACAGACGATTACAATAAGTTTCATGTAACATTTAACATTTTTCAATTTTAATCTCGTCTATGCCTGTTTTACAGACAAAATAAACTTAATAAACACTTGAATATGCTGATGGATTCAATTAGAATTCTTTTCAATTGTGTCGTCTCAGATTTTTTTTTCTCGTGTTCGTCACTCAATGTATATTTGAGTCAATATGTGCATAGAAGTGAATTGAAATAATATGTCTGTCTATTCTCTTCTTCTCAGACCTTAATACACTCCCATGTTTTCTTTTTCTCTTCGTTTGATGTAACCACACTTTCATCATTCAGTATTTTTCATTTTTATTCATCGAAAATAACGCAAGAAAACATGAATGAAATTCGTCAATTATGTACAACATCTTCATCACCTGATAAACATCTTGATGAGATTCTTGGACTTTTTCATGCATGTCCACCTCAACATCTTCTTTCATCATTATCACTTATTGGCCAATCTATATCATGTATGTCAATTGAACAGTTAGATATAAATATAATAAATCATCAAATATTTCTTATTATACGACAATGGTCAGAACGTTTACTTCAATTATGGTTAATTAATGGTACTTTAAATGGTAATGAATATCGAGCTATGTTTTATATTCATCAATTATTTAAACTTTTATCAGAATGGTTAATTGAACAAGATAATTTAATATTAAATAATAAAAATAAAGAATTAATTAAATCTACTATGAATAATTTATTTCTTGAAGAAAATTTTCTTGATACATTATGTCGTGTTATTAATCAGTTAATTAAAAATGAAAATGATGAACAACATAGCTTAGTAACAAATCATTCATCTGTAAGTATTTTTTTATTATTTAACAGAAAATTTCATATAGAATTAAAAAGAGACAAAGAAACAGAAGTCAATCAATCAATTAAAGGATCATTATTTATTTATTTAGCTAAGAAAATGAATTTTTTCTTTTGTTTTTGATGATAAAAGACTTGTCAACACAATTCCTTTGGGAAAAAATGTGAAATTTGCATGTGTTCTTTATCCTCATTATACTAATATAAAAGGTGCTAACTGATAAATCACAGTTTTTTTTACAAGAATAATCGATAACCAGAGGAAACAACCTGTCTTATTTATTTCTGTAATTCAAACAGAAGTTTTTTCTGTTTGTTTTCGTATTGCGTCTTTCCTTCCAACCATTGATTTAGCTGACAAATAAGTCTTGTACACATCCATCATATCTAGAGTAGATCTTAATGCACTTTTATGTATTTCGATAAGCATAAAAACATTGATATTGATTAGTTCAAGCTTTTTATATTGGTCACATGAGTATTGTGAGAAATCAATGTATCCTTACTCACCATTGTTGACATCTTGACTATGAATTTTTCTTTACTGAAAAAGTCAAAAACTGCACTACGTAGAACATTTACAAACGTATTGTAGCTATTGAAATTTTCAAGAAGGCTTTCACATGTTCTATAACAGTTCCATTGCTGAGGAACTCTGAGAAAAGAGTCTGACTCTGACCGCCCTCGGTTGCTTACTATAATTATGTAATGCGAGTTCTATAAAAATTAATTTTTTTATTTTGTTTTACAAAGGATGATGAAGATCATCTATCACCTGATGATATTCAACTTCAAACTGAAACGTCAGATATTCAAGCTGAACAAGCCGATGTAATTGATGTTTTATTTCGTTGTGTAAACTGTTTACTTAATCTATATAGTTATCCAATTTTATTAAATAATTCAATTGTTCATAAAATTTTAACACCATGCATAATAAATTGTCTTAATAGTCCATTATTTATACAACTTTCAACGGAATTTTTACGTCAAAATATAACAAGTGATAAAATAAATATTCGATCAATATTTCTTTTATTTACATGTATTGATTATTGTACAAAATCAACAAAAATAACATCAACATTACAATTATTACCATCAATAAATAAAATTCTTCATATTTGGTGTGAAATACCACAAAATTCTGATGATGATATATCATTATTAATTGTTCGTCTTATTACTTTTATTAATCAATTAGTATTAGTAAATAAAGAAGCAATTATACGAGAAAATCTTTGTGCATCATTATTACCACATTTTGAAATATTATGTCAAACACCAAATTTAATTGATGATATTGCTTCATTACTTATTACAATATGTTCAACAAAAAATGGTAAACGACATTTACGTCATTTAGGTTTTGTACAACATATTTTATATGAAACAAAACGTTGTGTTCAACTTTGGCATCCATTAGCACTTTTAATAACACAACATGATTTATATCAAACATCACTTTTCAAACGACTTATTCATTTATTAATACAACGAACTATAAATATATTTCAATCATTAGCTACAACATCAAATGATACATCATTTGATTCAACATCTCCATCATCAAAAAACCAAATTGCTATGACAGCTATTGAATGGTTTGTTTTATTACGTACAAGTTTTCTATCATTTACAATGATTGTTGATGAATTAATTAATTCAACAAAAAAAGTAAATCTTATAAATATGTTAATTGATACAATTTTATTTGCACAACAAGATGATGATATTTTACCAAAATTAATTGATATTATGATTGAACTTCTATGGACTTTTTCATTTAGTACATCAACTAATATTCATGATAATTTACAAAAACATATTGATTTATGTCGATGGTTAAAAACAAATATTACAGATTCAATTCCAAGTATACGTATTGCATCACAAGCAATTCTTTTTACTTTAGATTCAAACAATAAAAATACAAGTAGAGAACTTGTTGTTTTTTTTTTTTTTTTTTTAATTTTATTTATAGTTCGTACAACACTCAGTCGTGGTTTTTCCATACCTAAAAATATTCTTATTTGTATGTTTAATGCTGATGAATCTCATCATGAATTATGTATAACACTTCGTGATCGTCTTGAAATTGAACAACAATATTCTGTTGAACTTATTATAACTCCAACATGTTAATCCATTGATTCATTAATTCATTTTATTAATCGTTCATCAATTTGTCTTTTTTGTGCAAGTACACAAATGAAATATGATAATTTATCACATTTTATTTATCATTATATATCAATTCAAGCTTTTAAAATTCCATTATTAACAATTCTTATTGAAAATGAATGTGAACTTGATGGAAATTGGCTTGAAAACATTCCAATTATTGATATACAATCAATTCTTAAAGAAATTCGACGTTATTTAAATCCTACTGATGATAATCATACACGTTTTTCAAGTCGTACAAGTGTTGTGTCATCAATTAGTCGTACACATAATACAAATTTCNTGGGTGTTGGCGGGAGATTTCGTCTCTCTCGTCAACAATACCTTTCTTTTTTCTTGAAAAGGCATAGGTTTGCCCTAAAATACGTGTAATTAATTATCAGATCGCTTAAGGAACTATATCTCGTCACTTTAAAATAAATCCTAAGATGATATTGGCAAAATGTTGCCAAAAAGCAACATTCGGCCGTAAAGGGTTAAGCAATACTACGCTCTTTATACACATAGTTTAATAATACGTATAAGATTGAATATAGTACAGTTTTCAACCGGTATCGAAAATTGAGACGAATACCGATTGTATATTTGTCTTTCTTGTGGATTGATAGCACTTGTTCCTCATTATTTTATGGTATATATCATGGTAATAGAGTGCGATCATAGGTAAAACTAGAAACATAAACTTCACTGCATCTCATTTTTCTGATCGAACTTTTACGGGTTTTGTTTTTCATATCAAATATTTTTTCGTAATGAGTACTAAAAGATTACGGATTTATTTAGAGAAAAATTAAGATAATTATTGTTATTAATTTTGAATGCATCCTTTATGATAACATAATAACATTAGTATTCTTTTATGAATTGGGAACATGCCATACATAAAGCTGTTTTTTATTTCAAATGAGACTTCATCTTGAAGAATGTTGAAAAACTAATATTTGACGTAAATAAATACTCGTCTTTTATTTTATTTAATATTAGAAATTAATTAAATTAACAAAAAAAAAACATTGCCATTTCTTTTGTCTTTTTGAATGAGATACTTTGTCAGGCATAACGTTAAAAGTAATAACTTGACATATAAGTAAAAATAGAACAAACTATTCTGACTACTTTCTTCTTCTTTTTAACTTTTCTTTAATAATGACACAGAAAAATATGGCAGTAATAGTGAAAGCTAGATAAGGATTTAATCTTTCTCTGTTTAACTATCAGAGATGGGACTGGTTCAAGTTTGTTCCGAAAGCAAATCAAACTTGTAATAAGCCACCGAATGTATTAGACAAGGAAGAAAAATCTATCGGATCTTCCCCTGGAGCAATCAGAAAAGCGAGGTAAATGTTCTCAATGAATAAAAGTATGAGATAAATCATCACTTATTTATTGGCACTATACCAAGACTTAAAGGCAAAAAAAAAAATTCTTTAGTTTTCTCGTTTTCTTTCTGTAGGTCAATTTTGTTTTGAAGCACTGCTACAAACTACGAGCAGATTCTCCATGTCTAAACCGTTGAAATCGAACCAATCCTATCTCTAATAATTATCAAAGAACGACGAAAAAAGAAGAAGCAACTAATAAGGTTTGTTTATTTTTGTTTTCTTCTGTTTTTTTTCATCTATATCTTAGGTTTTTACTTTTAATGTTAATGGCTTACGAAGTATTTCACTCAGATACGAAATCTCAAATAAAAGAAGAGTATAGACAAGATTATAGAAAGAAAAAGTTATGAGTTGATAATGCACTATAAGAAACAGTTTTTTTTTCGTAATAACTATTTGAACAAAAACATATTCGTTGATTAGTTTTTATATGAATTTTTTCAGAAAAATTAAAACTTTGCACTTCGAATTTAGTAGTATAATATTTGAAAATTCTGCCCGGTTTTTTTCTATTAACATAATCTTATCAGATTAGTTTTAAATGATATTAAAATTGATCTCAATTTACTCGTTTATTCATCTATTTAATCAAACCAATGATGGTAAAAAGTAACTAATGTAGAATGATGGCTAAGTGCAAGAATTAATTTATTCCTAGACTAATTTTGTATGAATTACAACTTGTTTTTCAGGTTACAGATGTGATTTGAATAGCTTTTGATAATTAAATTATTCTTTTCATCTATGATATTGCTCGTCTTGCCTTGTAAATACTTAAGATGTCATCAAGTAATTAATTATAATATATAAAGAAGATTAATTATAAAACGACCTAGCATTCTTATCAATGATTAAATGATAAAAATCAATTTGTTATTTGATCATAACCATAATTCAAAGGTGTCATTTAATATAAAAAAAATTAATAAATGTTATTTGATCATTATTGAAACCATGTCCTATAGTAACCAGATAAGACGTCTTTTAAAAAGAAACAAAAAACAAAATAATAAATTAATTAGTCTTTATTGGAGTCTAAGTCTTCAGTGAATTGTCAATTCATTAAAATATGATTGACATATTCCGACGTTTCTTTATCTCTTTCAAGGTTGTTTTTACATTACAAGTGCTCACCTTTTTTTTGTTTCTTCAAAGACATTTGTAATCTTTTTTTTTATGTGAACATGCTTGTAGTCATTCATTCAATTGAAACAATTTTCTGTCAATCTTGTCATCGATGACTTTAATATTCTTAAATATAAAACAAAAGAATTCATATACAAATGTTGAAAATCAGTCATTCATTCATAAATAAGAGACTTCTTTTTCTTTTTAAGAGTTTAAGAAATTAGAAAAAAATGTGTTGATAATGAAACTTTCGTAAAATGAGATACTTGCATAGAATAAAGAAAGAAGATTATCTAAAATTAGATAACTAAATAAGACACATGAGATTCTATTATATCGAATATCTTTCAAATATGAAGCATTTCATATTGTCATTGTTTAATGATGGAGACATTAATACGAAATATTGTTCGGATTATAATTAATTTACTCATTGTATCTCTTTGCCATATGCATGCATTACGTCAGTAATTTTCTAGAAGAAAAAGTTGTTGGTTGAATCCCTTGAGAATATGTAAGTTTTGCCGGTATGCAAAAATAATCTTCCGAAACAATATCAGCAATCACCACCTTTAGAATTAGATTGAAAACGCATTATTATTGCAATGCAATATTCTTTTTTTTTATAGTGTTTTATATGCTTTTATTCATCGATCTCAGAATTTTGCTTAACTGCAATAAGATAGACAGCACATCGGGTTTTTATTTTCGTTGTCCTGATATTAATATAGATGCCTTTTGTTGTTAGGAAGTATTGTAAATCTTGATTAAACCATAAAGATAACTATCGATCGAGAACAACTGTAGAATAGATTCATCTGATTTGCATTTTGTGCATATATAAAATTGAAGATATTTGATACTGGTGGCAGTACCATAATGCCCTTATTTTCTATTAGCAACAGATATTTACAATTCTCGCCTACAAGTTATTTTTATGCCATGAATACTCTTTGTGTAGGAGAATCTAATCTATTTCTATCTATGTTACAAACAGATAATATGAATGATAAGTAAGCTATTAATATCATAAAAATATCTATCTATTCATGCAGAAAACCTATATTCATTTTCGGCAGTTTCCATCATTTTCTCGATTGTTAGACCAATACACTTGGTTACTGATTGTTAAATGCAAAAGAACAATAATAAGAAGTAATATATATAGCGGGAAAAGGGAGAGAGAAATATCTTTATTCATGTGCATGTACATTTTCATTCATATCTTGTTATAGGAAAAGATAAGTGAGTCTAAAATAACAATAATTACTATAGAGTATATATTAACAATAAAAAAAAACAATTGATTATAGGAACGTGGACTTCTGAAAGAAAGATAGTCATTTCGAAGAATTTATTCTTCTTCGTCTTTTTTCTTCGTTCCATTTTAAACTCATGTTAATGATGATGATGATAAGAACTAGAATAAGGACTAAAAGAATGGGAAAAAAAGAATAGAATGGTGATGATGATGATGATGATGATGATGATTTTTTCATATTGAACAGAGAAAATGTTTTTCCTCTTATTTTTTTGACGTTATTTTGTTTCCTTGAAGCAACATTATATATAATAATGAGACAACCATTAACATTATCTGATGCAAACAGACTAGGATTATTGAAACGCAAAACGGTAGTCTTCGGTCTTATTTTTTTGTCGATAGTTGTATCCTGACTTTGATACTTATCAAGAGAAAGAAAAGGAAATCAGTAAGTTCTCTATTTCCGATTTATAATTGGTGAACTCTATAACTGATAAAACGAAGAAATATGTCAACATAGAGAAAGAACAAACACAAGTACAAAGCCAAAAGAATAACTAATGAGAAAACAGAGTCTTAATACATACACTTTTCTTCTTGGTGTTTATTACATGCCAATGACATTAAACTCATTTGATGTTGAATGTTTTCTTTTTCTGCCTTTATTTCTAACTGAAAGCCTCTTGTAATCATGTTGTCACTATATATATGTACAACTGTAGATGTAATTGTAGCTGATGTAAGTATTGATCAACTAAAACTAATATCTAATATGTATAATTGTCGCCTTGTCATGAGTTTGACAATCATAGAGTTATAGATTATGCTAACATAACTAAAACAAAAAAGAAATTGTTAGTAGTCTTGTTTCTTCTTGTCATATTCATCTATCTTCGACCTGTTTCTTTTTAATAGACATGCATCGAAATAATCTATCAATGGACTTGCCTTGTTGAATGTATTTATTTGTCATTTTCATTATATATTTTTTTCTTCAATGGCATGTCAAATTGTTAATTGATGACATTTTTTTTTTCTTACTTCTTTTTACAGAATTAAAAAAGAAAATGTTATGTCAAATGCTAGATATATATATATTATTAATTAAAATTTACTTAGTATGATGAACAAATTTTCATGTCGATATTCTTAAGATTAATTATTCCTTTTTTTATTTATGCTCAACAGCATACGTTTATTTTTAAACGCGTTGTAAGAAAAAAAAGGCTTTTTAAGCAAAAGTCAACAAGTGATTATAAAAAAAACATATTGTGACTTTAGATGCGTTTATTATCGCATGTCCGGAAATCGAATGATCATATACGCATTTTTTATTTAATCATACTATTGTGAACAACCATTACTTTTAGTTTTTTTTCTGTTTTTAATATTAATTCATCTTTTTTCGCTATCGCACATACGCTTTTTATATATAAGTCATTTGATTTACTTCGAATTTGAACTAATAGACGCCGATAGAGCAGTCAGAGAGAAAAAGAGGGAGACAAGAAAATGATGATAGTCAAGAAAAAAAAAATGAAGGAAAAGAAAACAAAGAGAAAAATAGAAGACAACTCAAGGGAAATGAAGAATGTGTGCTGCAATGAAAAAAAAATCT